GGGGTCATAAAATGTACGGGTTATAGATGTTCATTTTTTGTTGGCTACTCTGTAGTGTTCTTTGCTGATTCCGTTCTTGTGTTCAGTTTTGTGCGCAGTTTTTGGTGTTCGTTTCGAATTTTTTTCATCCTCGTACTTCCTTTTTATGCGTTTTTTGCATCTATGTAATGCAGATAAATAGCGACGCGCACCAGAGCAGCCAGTGCGATCATGCGTTTTGTACAATTTCGTTCACCGAACGATTGCTTGCTAAAGATTTTCACTGCTTTGCATTTTGGTCTATGCAAAAATAGTTGAAATGTTTGATTCCTAAGTTGCGGAATTTCCGACTAAAAATTTCACGCAAACGAGATACTAATTTCCCTATCAAAACTTTCATGGGGCTGTTTGTGGTACCCAGGGGTGCGTAATTCTAAAGTTGCGGATCGTACGTTTGTAGAGGAGATCACCATAAAATTTCAGATTCCTAACTTCCGCGATCCCCGAGATAATGATTTTCTCCACCGAAATTTTGACGGGGCCGTAAGTGATACCCGGATGCGTGGGAATCTGAATTTAAAATTACAGAACTGTACGTGGACAGAAGAGATTACCATAAAATTTCAGCTCCCTGCTTTTATGGTTCCCGAGACAATAATTTCCTCACCATAATTTTCACGGAGCCGTGATACCCGAGAGCGTAGGAACGCTGAATTTGAACTTGCGAGGCCGTACATGGGCAAGGGGTCATTATTCTAAAATTTCAGCTTCGTAGATTCCATGGTTCTCGAGACAATAACTTACTCGCAGAAATTTTCACGAGGCCGTAGGTGATACCCGAGAGCGCGGAAAGGCTGCATTTAAATTTTCTGGGTCACGCGTGGGTAAGGAACATACCCATAAAATTTTAGCTTCCTAGCTTCTGTGGTTCCCGAGATAATAATTCACCTGCAAAAATTTTCACGAGACCATAGGTGATACCCGAGAGCACGGGAAGGCTGAATTTGAATAAGCAAGGTCGAGCGTGGATAGAGGGCCATTATCCTAAAATTGCAGTCTCATAGATTCCGCGATTTCCGAGATAATAATTTACCCGCCACAATTTTCACGGGCCCGTTCGTGCTACCCGCGGGCACGAGAAAGCTGAATTCGCGCGTGGGCAGGGACATGCCCACAAAATTTCAGCCTTCTAGTTTCCGTTGTTTCCGTGGTAATAATTTTACCCGCCTAAGCTTTTAGAGGCCGTACGTGTTACCCGCAGGTGCGGGGAGACTGGATTTAAATTTACGGGGTCACACATGGGTGGCGAACGTTCCCCTAAATTTTCAATTTCCTAGCTTTTGTGGTTCTCGAGTTGAAAGTTGCGGAAAAGTTGCTGTGGGCACACAACCCCGTGACAATATGCGTTTTGTATTGCTGTTACACAGCACAAAATGCATAAAAACTCATATTGATGTGTGTGTCTGTGTGTTCAATTTCTACCGATTTTTCATTTCGAGACTTACAAAAGCCCAGGGTTGGAACTTTGGGAATTTAATCTACATGTATGTAAGGCCCCCATTTCCAAAATGGGCGCTCTTACTTGCGTGGTACCCACGTACGGGCTCGCCAAAGTTTTTTCCTTGCTAACTCGGGCACCTGCAAAGCTAGAAGACTGGAATTTTAAAGGAATGTTTCCTGACAGTCCTGGCGTCCAGTCTCAATTCTTTTAGCTAGAAGCATCTGCCTGAAAACGTTAGCGACAAAAATCTGGGAGGAATTATGCAAAATAAAAACGCATCTTCGTACCGACAGTCGGTGTGCTGGCTATTTATTCCATGTCTATTTCGAATGCTGGTGGTGGGGGCACGGGGTTGGGAAAAAGAATCTTGTCAGGAAGATAACTTCAGCAAGTTGGAATAAAATTTCGGTTGGAATGGGAATTTGTCTAGTTTCTAGTCCGTGAGAATAGCTACATGAAGTGGGAAGGTGCACGGAGCTGACTGGGATATTTATTACGGGAGAGAGCTCTCTGCTCTTTCCATTCTCAAAGCTGCGTATGCCTTTATTGTGTGTGGATATTGGTTATGCTCTTGATTTGTAATAATATGGATGTCTTTTTGCGGCTCCTCATTTGCGCAAAATGCGTTTGTATTCGCAGCACAACTTGTAATTCCTATGCCTGCCTTCTAATACTTCTGCGCAACACAAACTGGCCGAATACGCAGCAGAAGTATTAGAAGGCAGGCACAGAAATTACAAGTTGTGCTGCGAATGAACGGTCTGTGTTTCATCCCTTAGCTGTAAACAAAGATAGAGCTCTGCGTTCAGATAGGAGCCAGAATCATCAGTACAGCTTTCTACCCGCCATTTGTTGAATACACGTGTGGCGAATTTACAAGATAAGAGCAACTGGAATGTAAATAATGGGAAGAGTGAAGCAAAAAAGACCACTCTAGGGGAACGCTCAAGTGC